TATTCAAAGTGGCCATGTCTACTCTTTATTTCCCTTCGCGTCATTCGCGAAGTGTCTAATTGAATCCTTCATTCTGGACATCAAACCTACTGTCGGCAAATCCCTGGTCATTCGTGACGTGGATCATACGCGCTATCAGCCCGGGCGAGGAAGGGGTAAGCGCCTTGCCGCAGCGCAAGCTCGGCAGAGCCTGTGAGTGGCTGCTCGGGCCCGGGCAGCGCGCGTCGCCGGCACGTGCCATTAGCCCCGGCGCGCGGCAGATGCTCTCATTATCAGGGCGCGCGCACCTCCCAAAGCCGCCTGCAAAGCGGATTGCAACGCGCGTCATCGGCGCCGCCGACCAAGTCGCGTCTGCGAGCTGCAGGTCTTCCAGACGGGGTTGGCTTAGTCATGGAGTTGACTTCGGACTAAGAGTCTCAGAAAGTGATTTGTTTATTATTTTGCTTATTCTTTGGGGTAGACTCGCAGTGCAATAAGCTGTATTTGAACTGTGCCCTCTAAACTGCATCTCAGCTCCCACGTTTGGGGGAGTTGATTTGTCACAACATTTCTAGCATGATAAAAGTGTCTGTGCCGACGACTTCTTCTTCTTCTTCTTCTTCTTCATCTTCATTTTCTTCTTCTTCTTCTTCTTCTGCTTCTTCTGCTTCTTCTGCTTCTTCTTCTTCTGCTTCTTCTTCTGCTTCTTCTTCTGCTTCTTCTTCTGCTTCTTCTTCTGCTTCTTCTTCTGCTTCTTCTTCTGCTTCTTCTTCTGTCTATGCCGAATCGAAATTTCGCGCATTGTTCTTATTCTTCTTCTTGGCTTAGACTCTTGCAACCTGCATAAGTTATACAATTCTAAGATGTGCAATGGATTTCAAATACGTAAAGTTCTAGTTTTCCAGGTCGCCTTCATTCGAATTTATGATTAATCACAAATTTTGGTGTGGATCAATGAATTTATGATGGAGTCGGTGTCACTCTAGCAGGAAAATGTAATTCATTATATTTTCTACTCTTTCCGTAAAAGACTCGGAGATTTTCAACCTGCTTTAAGACGCATTGCTTCTTGTACGATATGTCTTCATATGAGTCATTGATTAGTCACAATGTTGTTTATACGCTTTAAACGTTAGACACGAAGGTAATAATATGTTTCGCAGATTTTCTGTTTCTTTACAAATCTGTATCCAATGTGATGCTATTAAATGCTACATTTCTGAACATTTAACATTGGTTCAATATAAACATTTAATTTCTACCCTTTTACGAAGTCCATGCATATTTGAAACTGGAACTTTATAAATGGCAATATCTTGATGATTCTCGTATCTCGTATTTTCTTCTGGCAATTAACTCGGAGACTCTGCTACGCAGAGAATTGTGTAGCTGCTCTGGTCTGCTGCTTCTGTGCTTTCCGCCGATTAATTTCTGACTGGAGCAGTAGCCGTGTACTGAGCAACTGGATGGGGTTACAGACAATCCTTCCGTATCGTTTACATACATTTAACATTTGAACTGTATCAGCACAAACAGCGCATCAGGAAACCATTGAGGGAGCTTAAACTATTAGAGTGATGTCTCAGGTGCTCGTAGTGACAGGTCATGAATGGGTCGCCAAGAGCTTTCACGGATATGTGAGAAGGGAACCACGAGGCTTAGGACGATGTTCTCTGTCATTCCAAATACACCATGCACTATAGAAGTACAGAAGAAACATGTCGAATTTTCTGTTATATTAGGAAACATCTTGAATATTTTTATTCCATTAAACCACTTCAGTTTACCCCTTTATTCGTATGTTCTGTCCCTATCACTGAGTGTTACTTCAAGTCTTGTCTACGTATTAACCTGTCGTTTTGCATCTCATGCGCAGGGTGAAACTTTACATCGGAGGAACATTTTTTTCTTATTCACTAGATGATTCAAATTGTTTCCCCTATTGCGAGTCCGCCAAGTACTTCTTCAAACTTAACAACACGTAGTCAAACAATAAAATCGTAAGAGAACAATGTAGATTTTTAAAAAATATTCCTACTAAAAAATGTATGTAATGATACACGAGACATTCTATATACAAGCGCATTTTAATAGTTCTTGGAATCTCGACATGCATCAATTCATTATTAGGTTTCTACAGTTACGTAATTATGATACATAAGAGCAAACTTTATGATGACGTAAGATTTTTAGATATTCATCAATTATTTGTTTCTATCTTTATCATTTACACATCAATAATAAAAAAATTGTATTCCAAGAAATATTCAGAAACAGCATGACAGAAGAAAAACCTGTTTTACAATCAGTCCTAGATTAGTCAATGTGTACGTGTATTATAATATAAACAAACGTTATGCCATATAACCAATATCAAAGTCCACAATAACTGGACAATATATCAAATCATATGAACAATGTCAAAAAAGAATAATAAATTGACTATAAAGAACAATATCACGAATAAAGCAGAATATAGTTATATTGAATAAAATAATAAAATCAAGGTCAAATTAAAAATGAAAACAATTAGTAATATTCACACAGAATATTAATTGTTGAGCATGGATAAATGTTAATTACGTCACGTGTAAGTACTGTATGTCACGTGTCAAGAAACTTGTTATTCCATTTAAAACTGTTTTGAACATAAATAGAACCCCAATCACAAATTCATTTTTTGAATCAGATTAAAGTGTATTTAATTAGCCAGTACTGGAACTCAAGAGCAACTTAGACGAGCACTCTGTACCATTTGAATATGTTTGATTTCTAACACAATAAGCAAATGGCGAAAAGATGAATCCCCGCACTTAAATAGGAATATTAGGGATATTATAAATGGGGTTTTGAGCTGATCTTATCTTAAAAATAATTAAAGATGTTGTCATTGCCAACAATGTTTTTTAATTCAATAGCAGCTTTCGATGGCTTAGCCATCATCATCAGTTGTCTGATACAAGAAGAAAAACACAAAAAACAAAAACATTAAAACGTGAATTAACAACAAGATTGTGATAAAGGTTACAAATAATTTACAAATTTTTTGGAAAATATATTTGACAACGGGAGAAAGAAAAAGTGGGGGGTGTTAAGCCATTAATACTAAAGAAAAGCGAATGAAAATAGAAATAGGACACGTAAAAATTATTTTTATACAGAGAAACATAGAAATGTAAGTTGAGCCGTTCCTTACCTGCTAGAATTAAAAAACATTGTTGGCAATGACAACATCTTTAATTATTTTAAAAATGCCAAAGATATCTTACCACAACACCTATATTATAAAGCTAGTCATGATCTTATCTTCTTAGATGAAAATGTTTACGGAACAAGTGCATATGTTTGCAGTTGACTTTATGCTAATGAGCATTTCTGCTTGAGTGTGATTAGTAATTCCGGACGCGACAACTGCTTAGGTCATAAGTAAGTGTAATGTATGTTGTATCGGGAGATCTACCTACGTCTGCTTGCAGTGATTTCCCCAAGCAGGTATCCCTCACCAGCGTGGCAATCCGGAGAAGCTCTATGCTCCCGACAAGTGTGGTAATGTCTAACAAGTAAGTGTACGTACAGCGATGACACACACACACACATACAGAACAGAACGATATGACAAGGAAGGGGAAGGAAAGGTCAAGTAAATTGCGTGACCCGTTTGTTAAGGTACTGCTCAGACATTCTCTTGGTGTTGATTGGAGAAACTACGGAAAAATATCGATCAGAGCAGCCAGCCGTTAGAATTCTCCTTCAAACAGCGGCTGAATTTGCTAGGACTGACTAGCTACTCTTGAAAACCCTGCCACCAACAGAACTCGAACCCTACGACCTCCCAATCAGAGATACTGCAGTGACGTTAGTTGACCAAGATGCTTTTTTGGATCCATATATGTTGTTTTCGACGCACTTTGTATAATAAGTCAATTTGCACTACACACTCAACAAATGTTGATTATTGGAAATACTTACGGATTTCAACATATCTTCAGGGTAAAATTATAGCAAAAGTTGATTTTCGACAGTATCAGGTTCAAAATGAAGACAAGTTCTGTCTCCGCAAATCTTTAGTATCAAGACTACAAAGTATTTATCTAAGAATTGATCTCTGTTGAACACCAGCTTTAATTTGGATGTGCCGGGTTCAGGGTCCGGGATATCTTTTCTCAGATAATATCCAAAATCTAAGCACGCCCTTCTACAAGAACTCTTCAACAGACAAGGCAACCATCAAATTGAAACCTCTTAAAAGGATATCATGATTTATAGTATCAAGAGTCTTTTAATAATTTAAAGAGACTTTGGAATAACATTTAACTGTCGCAAAATTATATATTAAAATGTCATTTAAAAATGTGAAAGCAGTGGTGGCTATGAATCCACTACGAAAGCCTAATGGATTATAAAGTATAGCAACAACGTTCGTATTTTCATGACGTAATTATTAAAAACGTTCTGTACGAGTAGAATTTTGAAGAAAAATTGAAATAAGACGAACCGTTTAATGGAAGAATAAAGAAAGAAATACACATAAAACATAAATATTTTCACTTTCATTTCTTTTTTTGGAGTTTACAGACCAATCCCCTTTTAGCAGTCACTATTATAATTCTAAAAAAACCTAAGAACATGTAGACTTGAGCCCAGATCTTAAATATTTGATATGTAACATATGTCAATTGTTCTGTTTTCTGCTCTATCTTCATCTTCTCTCGTATAATTAGTCACACATGTATACAAAATACATACATATTTCACGTATAAACAGTTTCAATCCTAAGAAAAATGAATGCCCCCCAAAATACACATACCAAGACCTCAAATCATGTGAATCATCAAGAAAGTCAATAGATTATGCAATTTAGTGATTGGATGATTCCTTTTTAATTTTCGGAGCACGAAACATTCTTTGTTTAGTACTTTTCTTTACAAATCAAGTATGCTGTGCTATTTTTTCATTTTTATAGAATCTTCATTCAATTTGCAATATTCATTTATAATGGAATCAATTTTTTTTATTTTAGAGTAGGGTTTGGTTTAACTAAACCATGTTGCCAAGACGGGACTATTTTTAACAATTTGTGTTCAAATACTGTATCAAATAATGAAGAAAAGAAAGCTTTTTTTAACATTGACTCATACACACACATACACGAGGACACACAGGCATGGCTATTTAAAAAATGCATGTTTTCTTCAAGCACAATTTTAAATAAAATGTCTAAAGTGTCGGCGAATAAAACGAATATTTTCATGATCATCACTAATTTTAGAGTACCTACTACGACTGACAACACCCTTGTGGCAACAACTAGTTTATATTTCACCACTGGATTTATCAGATTAATGTGTATTGTCGAGATTCTAACAATAAAAAGTGCTGTCATTGACAAGAGGTGTTGAGAGATGTAAAACCTAAATTAATTCAATAATGGAGCAATATTTTTTCTATATAATACCGCTTCATTACTATTATTGACTAAATTATAGAGCACTTAAAGTAGAAACAGAATGTTTGCTAGTTTAATGAACTAGATGATAAATGCTTGTTAAATATTGCGCAGTTGACATATCGCCGCCATTTATCTTCTGCTCGGATTAATTTGAAATAGTCTGAAAAGTAATAACACATCGCACTACTGTTACATGCATTTACATTGTCGGTTATACTTTGCGTACCAAGAAGTCCATAGGTTTGCATTCGTGTTAGGAAAATTGAATAACTAGCTTTCAAATAATGAGATTCTTAACGACATTCTTAGGTCAATATGCATCTCAACACTATATTACTGGCATTAACATCATTGTGGAATCACGTTGTGTTAATGTCAAATGCAACAAGATATATGTGCTAAAATACCTTAATATATAGGTTATAAGGTTATACATATTTTCTTAAATCGTAATTATTTAAATTTGGAGGACGTGCGGTTCATGTCAAATTATTAGGAATGAAGAATCTTATTTGTTTCTTACCTAAGTATTTTTCACTCATGTTTATCTTTATAACTAAAAGACATAAACAACAATGAGAAATAAAATTGTCTCTCATGAAAACCATATAAATTCTCTAGGTTATAATTGACCAATCAGAGTACTCGACGCTTGATGAATTCCTTTTATTAAACTTCATGAAATTAATTAATTCATTCATTCATTCATTCATCTCCTTCTAGTCACGCAGTATGTCTCAGGAATAATGTTTCAAATGACTAGGACATGTACAAGGGTCGAAGACGATCAATATTTGGAAATGAATAATTGGTGGTAAATTTCTTATGACGGTGTTATTGAAATGACTTTGCTCCTAAGAATTATATACATTGCTGTTTAATATATCACATAATGACGCAGACAAAGTGATCCTGTGTACCTATGAATTATTAGTTGACTACTAACCACTAGTAAATGCCCCATGTATAACTTCTTTATTTGAAATTATCCACCACATGTTTCATGGCAAAAAGGGATCGCGATGAATTTTATAAAATTTCTTTTGAGGCGCGTTTTCTTCATTTATGTAATGATTGTAATACACAAAGTGGTTCATCAAATTATTCCATTGTCTTCATTATTAAGAAATTATAATTGTCGTGATTAAAGTATTATTATTTATTGCATTAAATGCAATTAGTTGTAGTGACAGATTTTATCCATATCAGACATCATTGACATCAGGTCAAACATCGAAAGTAGTTAAATTTAACACAAATTCTGCTTAACAATAAAATATGTACAGTTTAACGACTAAGATTGATACATACACTAATATATATACACGGCTTTTGCCTTCCTCTTTTAACAGTGTTATTATAAAAAATATATTGTATTGAAGTGTTTGTGTAATACATTTTTACGTGTTAATATTTTCATTGGTTAGGGATTGTCACTCATCTCTTTAAGCAAATATTTTCTACATTAATTATAAATTCCAGGTCTGCAATGATAATATCCATTTAAAATCAGTTAAACATTTTGAGTAAGTATTGAAAACTAGATATAGTTTATGCCATTATTTTTTAATGTTAAGCTTTATTGCAGGAGCACATGTTTTTAAAACGAGCGACGTTAGTGAGTTTTAAAATCTGTATGAACGAAATGAAACATTATAAACGAGTTGCATTGGCTATTTTTTGTATAACAGCATTATAAATGTATAAAAGGATCAAACTTAATTCTGCGAAACAACTTTGTACTGACGTCTCGGGTATTTGATATCTGTGCGAGGAAACGGTGGTCTGTTCATTGCTACTTCCCCACGATTCTCCAGCTGCAATTAACTCAATGTGTGATGACGCAATCCTTCGTACCATAAAATGCCCTTCTATGAACGATTTCTTGCAGCATAAAAGGTCCTTTATGGTGCTGGTATACAAAAAACAATATTATTGACACTAATGATGCGAAGGGCAACAAGAACAGCCGGCGCGCGCCCTTGTATCGGCGGGCGCTGGTTCTCAGCGAGGCCGAGGGCGCATTGTTTCCCGGGGGACGGGTGTGGCGTGCGTTGGCTTCTGCCGCGCGAGCGGGCGTCGCGTTAAAGATAACGCGGTCGGAGCTCAACGCACGCACGCGCGCGCGCTCGCGCACGTGTGTGCACGTGTACGCCAATTAGCGCTTCATGGGCGACTGGGACGGCAATCGCCCGGAAGAATGGGCAAGGCGCAGCGCAGCGCGGCGCAGCGGTGGCGCAGCGGTGGCTGCGTTGCCCAGTCGCTGCGCACGCTTTCATCGGGCGCTGGTCTTCGTTAGGCGACTAAGCGCGTTACATGTTAGACGCGTGTTTCCGCTCGCTTCGAAACAGAAGACTGCGGTGGGAGTGTAGCTTTGCTCTAGGTGGACGAGCGCTGAGATGAAACTGCTTCGGATTTAAGCTGCGTGATGCAAGAGCCTAGGTCTGCTTTTTTTGTTGTTTTTTTTTTGTTTTTTTTCGGAAAATACCACCTTTTATTAGATTTTAACCAATGATTCAATTATCGTCTTTCCATCTCACTCAACAATGTTTCCTTCTAAACTTGACTTTTGTAAGATATCTGGCTATGATAAATTCTAATGGCAAGACTCATATTTAATATTATTGTCTTCTAAACGTAGTGCATTGAAGGTGCTTCCTGGTAAGATCCAAGTGTATATTTTTTGCTCGCAAAACAGGATACTATGGAGGGAGTGTAGCTTTGCTCTAGGCGACTAAGCGCGTTACATGTTACACGCGTGTTTTCGCTCGCTTCGAAACAGAAGACTGCGGTGGGAGTGTAGCTTTGCTCTAGGTGGACGAGCGCTAAGATGAAACTGCTTCGGATTTAAGCTGCGTGATGCAAGAGCCTAGGTGCGCTGGTTGGTTTGTTCTTTTCGGAAAATACCACCTTTCATTGGATTTTAACCAATTATTCAATTATCGTCTTTCCATTTCACTGAAACATGTTTCCTTTTAAACTAGAGATTTTGACATTTGTAAGATGCTTGGCTATGTTACATTTTAATGGCAAGTTTCATATTTAATATCATTTCCGTTCAAGCGTAGTGTATTGAAGGTGTCTTGTAAGATCCAAGTGTATATTTTTCCTCTTTTTTCCACTTCGTCAACCCATTACGTCGTCGTTCTGTTTATCCTGAGTCTCACACTTCCCCATCTCGTTCAAATTTGTTGGTGTATAGTTTGCTTGTGAGACACGCTCTACTGTTCTTAATGTTCACCACTAATTTTTATATTAGCATAAAATGCTATGTGGTCATCTCGCTTTACGTGACCGCAAGATATCGTAGCCTTGCTGTACATGGGTTTCGTCAAATGGAGAAAATAATACACAGAATTAATTAAGCGTTGTAAATTTACGAAACGCTTGAACTAACTCAAGAGTTCTTTTTCCATTTTTCTCCTCGTTCTCCTTTTTCTCTTCTTCTTTTTCTTCTTCTTTTTCTTCTTCTTCTGTTTTCGCTTCTGCCTTTCATTTCCTTTTTATCTCTGTTTTTCTTTTTCTCTCCTTTTTTCTTACTTTCTTCTTCTATCCTTTTTATTACACTTCCTCGTTTCCTTTATATTTTTTTCTTAGTATCGTTATTTAGTCCTTTATTTTTCATTCCTTTCTTCTTCTTCTTCTTCTTCTTCTTATTATTATTATTATTATTATTATTATTATTATTATTATGTTACTGCTGCGCATAGCGCATAAACGCTGCGCAAATCGTATGTGCAGCGGGTTGCGTTAAGCAGTGTGTCATTGATTCAAAGGTTTTAGTTAGATTTATTTGTTCTTGAAGTTAGAAACTTTATCTGATCCACCCAGTATAATTTGTGATCTTATACTTCAAATATAATTGAAACTATTATTGAAGAATTAGTTAGTTAGAATTAGAAGATAATAAGTCGTAAATCTAAGGTCAAATTGTGTACGATTAGCTTGGGCTTTGCGATTTCCATTGCTAAAAAGTTCGTTACTTTTAGAGCACCCCACCAAATGCATCGGCAGTACTATGAAGCCAACTCGATTGGTCTGCGCCATTGGAGTTGGTAATTGCCTTTATGAACGTAGTTACATAGAATGCTGCGAAAATCGCGGACCCTGAAAAAGACTGGTGTTAAAACTCTTGACGACCATCAAATTGTGTGGAAATTAAAAAATACGATTCAAGGAGATTTTGTGATTGGCTAATAGCGATCGGAACTCAGTGAACTGTACAGCGCAGGTGTTTACTGAAGTTTACACTTTTTCTCTTCTTCTTTGTTATTTGCGATTACAACAAAAGGGAACAATAATAGATGTTTGAATGTGATGTTTTCGTGGTTTGTGTCATTTTAGATGTCTTTTTAGATTCTGTGAAAGCTAAAACTTTGCACACGATGGATGCAACACTAACATAAATGTAGTTTTATAAACGGGATCGCTCCTTTATGCTATTTTTGTGTTAACAGAGCATAAATTGATTGCTATTTTTCTTCTGAAGAATGTTACTCGTAGCGAATAAAGTTCTACATCGTGTGTATTAATAGCTTAAAGTGCTATTAATACATTCATTCCAATTTCTTCCGGATTCTTTCTATTGGAAA